TAATCTGATAACTTACTAACAAGATAAGATAAGAGCAATAGAATAAGATAAGAACAAGCAAGATGATCTAATCTAATTTGGCGATGGATCAAGTTCATGTTGCTGCCGATGGCGATGGTACGTCTTTCCGAGGAATGCATCCATAACACATTCTTCATGGTTTTTTCCTAACCACCCACTGTTTTATTTAACAACCCTTAATTACTGATGGAGTTAACTATTAAGGTCTTTTAGGTGGGATTTGGTGGTTGTCTCAAATCTTCATTAATACCCATCTTATCAGCCTTTGTCTTCCTTGTAAAATTATCAAGAAATTTCTAATTTGATATGCAAGTATTCAAACTGAGTTTTGACTCATCATTAATCGACCATTGATGGTTTTAATTATCCTTAAGGGTTCAATCTCAGTTTTGAGATGCAAGCCCACCTCTTTTTGCATGCTTAATCACTCCCAATTATCCATGCATTGTTTTCTCTCATTCTTACTACTATGTTTATGTCGTGGGTCACCACTATGAATTATTCCTCCATTTCTTTTTCTTTTTGCTTTTCACAGGGTTTATCCTTTGGTTTTCTAGGGCAATTTTTTGCCCCTAATACGAATATCAATAAAAATAATATTTTTTATATAATGATCAGAATATGATAGCTTTTTTGAAAAAATATCAAATAAGGGCTCTGGGCACGTTGCTTATATTCCTCCTGTGCCTATGTATTCATGCCGAATGGAACTTTCACAAAAAACCCAAAGAGATTTCACAAGCAGACTCATAAGAAACTCATGATCAATCTGTAAATCATACAATCCAACGGTTTGATTTGAGGGGAAAAAAAAATCTTTTTGTTTAACACAAAAAGAAGTTTGCCTTATGCCTATATACAAATGCTCGATCAGTTGTTAATCGCTTAGTGTCTATATATACTGTTCGCCACTAAAGTGAATGTTTCCCGAGGAAACCCGATGAAGGGATAGATAATCAAACGTATAAAGCGATTGCCTCTCGAGTTCCATCTGAAGAGCTCATATTTGAAATTACTTTTGCAATAGTAGTGACACTCACCTAACTACCATTAGAGATCATAAATGGAAACTTTATTCCCACAATGTTCTTTAAGGGGCAATTGTTGATCTTTCACGCCTTTATCTTAGCCCTCAACTTCACCTTCTTTGGTGCTGTTAGAACAATCTCCATCCGTGAAAGATACACTAAACTCGCATCGTATTTCCAGCAACTCTCAGTCATTTGTATTGCAACAGCTGCTGGAATCTTGCTATGGGTCACAGTGGTTCCGGTTGAGTTTAGACTAATTTCATAGATGGAAACTTTATTCCCACAGTGTTCTTCAAGGGCCAATCGTCGATCTTTCACCCCTTTGTCTTAGCCCTCAACTTCCCATTCTTTGGTGCTGTTGGAACCATCTCCATCCATGAAAGATGCTCTAAACTTGCATCGTATATCCAGTAGCTCGCTGTCGTTTGTATTGCAACGACTGCCAGAATACTGCTATGGGTTACCGTGGTTCTAGCTGGGTTTAGGCTGATTTCATCTCTTGGTAGTAGTAGTAATATTGTCTTACTATACACCTATTTGATGTCTCTCATCTAGATTTGTATGCCTTCATAAGATATTTAAATATAAATTCGCTTTCAACAGCTACTATCCAGCTGTTCTTGCACCCTGTTTATTGCTACCTGTGTGATGCCATTCCTTTGTCTTCTAGGCGATGAAATCCCTTTTAAAAACTAATCAACACGTTTTCCCTTCCGAGGGCAAGCACCAAATAGTGCCCATTGCCCTTAATTTGATTTTTTTTTTTAAGTTTTCCATTTTGGTTATTATATGAAAAATATTATCTTTAATGATATTGGGGGCAAAAAATTGCCCTTATCGGCTGTAAGCCCTTTCTAGACTTGGAAAGCATTCTATGAATTTCCAGTAATTGATATTGCTGTTAAACAAGGTTTTCCTTCCTCTAACTTGTTTGGGAGGGCTAGCTTGTTCCCTTTGGGAAGTTAAACCTTACTTTATCCCCATTTTTTTTTTCTACAAACTCCTGTAACGAAAGTTTACTTGTTGATCCCTCCGAAAATGCTGTAGTGAGGGATCGCTAGTTTGATCAATTGCCCATAGCAGCTTCCTCTGCTCTTTGAGGACAAGTTTCTTCTTGTTACCTTTAATTAGTGCCCCTTTGGATGGGTTGAACTCAGTAACATAGTGCCTCTACCAACAACTGGACTCTCAGAATCGCCTTTACTAAAGAACTTTTAACAGCAAAAACAACTGAAAATAGAGCCAGAAGGACGAGTAACGTAGGAAAAGTAAACTGGACTCAACAAGCTACACTAACACCTACTAAATTAACAAAACAAGGATCTACCTCTACAACCCAAAACTAAAAATACAAGGCGAGTTTAGTTTAGAATCTACATCGAATTATCAAGATACAAAGACTATATACTTCTGTCAAACGAAAGATTGCTGTAAGCTGGAACGCTGTGTCGAAACTAACCAAAACCTCCTCTTCGTACCATTCTCTTTCGCTCTCTCTCTCTTTGAGAGTTTTCAAACCAAGCACATCTTTTAATACTCAGATCTGCTGCAAACCCTTGCAGAGGAGGTGGCAGAAACGATGGGCTTCGATCGCCGGTTGTAGGGGCGTCGGAGGTTGCAGGGTGGCACAACCGGTGATAGGTCGAGAGAGAGAGCTAGCGGAGGCAAGGAGGGAGCGAGAAGAGAATAGGGGGAACAGGGATGAGTTCAAATCACCATTGGGCGCCCCACAAACGCCCCACACAATCAAACCGAGACACCTGTCCTCCCACACGAGCTCCATCTTCAACTAGTACGGAGATAACGGGACGGATGTTAGCTCCATCTTCAATTCTCGACCCTCTCTCTCCGCTTCCATCTTAGATCAGAATCCCCCCGCATTAAACGTGGGCAGAGTTCTCGTGGGCAGGAGATCCAGACTCCTCTCCAGCATTGGCATTCGTTCCGGTGATCACACCGCTCGAAGGTAATCAGCTCCCTATTGAAGTAGTTGAAGCAGAGCTCTCTAGTGGCGTTGTCCCAAGCAGCGCAATCAGTGAGGGTGCTTGTTGTGTTTGTTTTGTTCTAGACAGTTGGCCTCTCGGCCCTCTCTACCGGAAATTGCATCATGCTGTTGGAGGCTTGCAGCATCACGACTGCAATCACAACAAGCAACGGCTGCATCAGATTTTGAAGTAACGGCGGATATCAATTTTTTAACTAGAAAACTTATAAATCAAAACTGTGCTCCGTCACTCGAAAACGGAGAACAACATTCTGATTTCTGGCAAAGTGAAATATAGAAAATTGAACTTTTAATCTAAATGGGATCTCAGGAAAGATTGAGATACCAAAATTGAAATAGCAAGAAAAATAACAAAACCAACATTTTACAAACCCAATGTTGAACAATCAGTCAAAAAAAATCCATGTTTCAATAGTAGTTTTCTAATAAATCCAGAGTGAAAATTCAATCATACAGTCGTGGTGATAGATAGTAGATACCCAAACCAACTATGAATTATACTAAGAATTGAAGGAAATTTTCTCTAATGCCTGTTTCAATGAATAATGCTATCAAACAGGAAGAAAAAAAAGTAGAAAATCCAAAAATGGGAGGGGATTTACCAAAATGTTTCAAGATCAAAATCCCCAAAGTTGATAAAGAAAAAGGAAGAAAACAAAGCAGATATAGATAAAAACGGATTCTGCTTCTTTGAGAAATTATGGCTAATACTCAGAAAACGAAACATCAAAACCAAAATCTGAAAAAAAAAAGTACCCACATTCAGATTAGTATAGAAAGAATAAATAAAACAATACTAACAAGGGTATGATGTTACACACTTGAATCAATGACAAGTGCAAAGCATAAAACTGTTCAACTGTGTCGGTGGCATCCCACTATTGCAAACATGGCTATCCATCAAGCAACTCTTTATTTTTTTTTCTAGTTTTTGTTGTTGTTAACCCTCTTCTGCAACCGATCTGAATAGTTCCCCAATTTATAATCCTTATACCCTTTACCCGACAAAACCTTTCCCGCACCCTTGTTAATCACCACGAAAGCGAAGATCGTGAAGCATAAAAGAAGAATAATGAAGAGGAACATCACGCAAAGGTAAATACAGAGAAGCCATAAGACCCTGCAGCATGCGCAATGAATCTAACGAGAGACACCAACATGACAAATACCCCAAGAGCTGTAGAAACCCAACAAACAAGTGGGCCCACATAGGAAAAGCAAAGAGAAGCAAATGTATATAACTGGGAATAGCTATGCATATTACTAATGCAAAGCATACAAAATACAAGGATAGGCAGACAATGTATCACACACGTGCACTATTGTAACTTAAAATTACATTTACTAACATTAGTTGGAAGGTACTCACCAAAAGACTACACTGCACCCTTACTAACTTGGACTTGCTATAGAGTGCTACTGCTCTCTAAACTCGGATTTTACACACATGCACTTATACAACCATAGGGGGTGATCCCCTATTTATATTTGAGCATGCCGCCTTACATGAGGCGGTTTATCAAAAGAATTGGTTTCCAAATGGTCCACGTGGGACCCTTTATAGCCAAAAGGTTGAGTCGGTTCAAGAACCGACTTAAAGAACTCAGTTGTTGACTTCTCATTTCTCCCCTTCAGCAATGACTTCTCTTTAGTTGTCATCCAAAGTCTTCATTTTGCTTTAGGCCTTGAATCTCTTTTCTTGCCTTTTGCCATCTTTCACCTTGACATGCATTTTCATGACCGATTGGTTCTAAGTTGCTGACTTCTTCCGCGAGTGTGACGTCTATATACTTAGGGTTAGGGCGTCTAATCCTAGTTGACCTTCGTAATTCTTGTCTTGGTTGTTCTTCTAGCTCCACCATTTGACTTGGTTTAATATCTTCAGCTGTCTTTTGCTCATGAACATCAGTGCTCTATGGTCTTGGAGATTTTTGAGTATCATATGAGTTAGGTTGGGGTTTTAAATCTTCTTTCTCATTTATCTTCTCTTGTAAATTCTCTTCCATAATTTCAAAATTAGATAGTATAATTCTCTCAGATGACCACCAAGACGTAACTTCATTGAATTCCACATTTCAAGATGTATAGCAACGATTGGTATTCGGATCATAGCACCTCCAACCTTTTCTTTCGCTATCATAGCTGAGGAATATACACTGAATAGCCTTTTTGTCAAATTTGCTGTGTAGATGGTTTGGCACAAATACATAACATATGCAACCAAATACGCAAAAGTAACTTACAGTGGGTCGACGATTCCTAGTGAGAGAAAGCCAAGTGATGCTTGTGGTAGTCGATTGATAACATGTGTTGTAGTCTTCATGACTTCTGCCCAAAATCGTCCTGACACACTTTTACTATGCAACATGTTTCTGCATATACTTCAACTAAATGACGATTCTTTCTCTCAGCTACTCAATTCTGTTGCGGAGTATTTGGACATGTCAATTGTCGTCGTATCCCATATTTCCTAAGATAATATGAGAATTCTTCTGATGTGTATTCTCCTCCATTATCAGTGCGAAGGCATTTAATTTTATTTCCAACTTCTTTTTCAACCTTCTCTTTGAATTCTATAAACTTTGAAAATGCTTCAGAGTTTTCTTTTAAGAAGTACACCCATACGTACCTTGAGAAATTATCAATAAATGTTATCATATACCGCATCCGAGTGTTTGATTCTTGCTTACTTTGAGCCTGTTATATCCAATATGGCCAAGTCTTGTATGCCAAAGATCAGCAGTTTCATTACCTCGACTCTTTTCTACATAAGCTGATTTAGCAGACATTACGTAGATAGACTCTATTTTTCATCCTTCCAAAAGTGGTGCCTCCAGTGTATGTATTCTCCGATATACTTTAACATCGTTTGGACCAAACACTACATAATTACCAAATGTAGTTTCTTTTTCCTACCTGGCACATGGTAGACATTTTGGAGTTGTGCTTCTTCCTTGTTGAATCGCAGGATGCATAATGCTTGACTAATATGGGTGATTGGAAGTCTTGCATTGTTAGCTGTAATAACAACTCGCTTGCCTTTATATTCTGACATAGATTGAAATTTCTGTTTATCTCCTGTCATATGATTTTGAGCATTTAGAATCAATGATCCAGTCTCGGCTATAGTCAACTACTCCATGATTTGGTGCCAATACCGTTGAATAATCTTCAACAGAGCAACCATGCTCATCTGGCTCTATAATACAATAGGAGGCTTCGGCTTCCCATTCTTCTTCACTTCCTTTATCTCCTTGCTGACCGGCTGATGTTGTTGTATATCCTTTAGCTGGCTTTCTTTTGTTGTACTAGCATTCGCGTGCATAATGGCCCTTCTTGGAGCAATTGTAACATATTACATTGCGTCGATTATTCTTGTACTTCTAAGAAGCTCCCCTTTGTTGATAACTTTTCTTCTGTTGATGAAACTTAGCAGGCTTCTGCTGCTTAGGCCTTCTGCTTGGCCCCTTCTTCTGAGTGAGAAGTGCTTCTTCTGTTTCTTTGATTGAGACACTAGCCATCTGCTTATTTAGTGTCTCTTGGCTGGTCAACTTATTTTCTAATTCAACAAGGGATGGTTGTGTTGATCAGCCTCTAATAGCTATCAGAAACCCAGTATACTCAGGTCTCAACCCTCGTATAATTATTCGTCTCACTCGGGTTTCACTGATTGCAGACTCTTTATCTAATAGAGAGATTTCATCATAGAGGCTCTTTACCTTTGTAAAATACTAGTTGATTGTCATCAATCCTTGACTGATCGATGCAAGCTCATTCTCCAACATCTGAAGTCGTGCTTCATTTGTTTTGGAAAATAATTTAGATAAAATATCTCAGGCTTCACTTGGAGTCTGGGCCTTTTTTATATGCTCTAAAATTCTTTCTCAATAGTAATTTTAATAGGGAGCAATAGTTTCACCTCTGGTTGTTACTTCCAATAAATCTTCGCCTTGTAAATATGACTCCATGCACATGCGCCAACTATCATAGTTATAGTGGTTTAGCTTCTCTATTCCTGTAAGTATGCTAGCTAAACCCGCCATTATGATTGGTGAAATCCTTCTCTACTGCCTTTCACCAAGAAGCTTAGTCCCATACTAATTGGCTTCACAGCGTCACGCTGCTCACAATGAATGGTTCTAATCTGGCAGAGTAACAGCTAGATCTTCGTTACTCAAACGTCAACCCGACAGAATGACAACTTTGGTCAACCTGACTTTAACTTTTTAGATTTCAAATTTAAGATTTATCAAACACCACCTTAGTCTTAAAGCCCATATGTGGCGTGGTATTCTACCATTGGCGGATGCAGACGATGTGAACTCCAAAGTTACAATTATGATTGAATACCTTAATATAATTTCATTCTTTTCTTGTTTAGATGATTCATAACAAACGAGGAATTTGAGGAAGATATCCCATACAATATTATTATAGCATGGGCAAAATGGTGGGGTGAACCTCGGATTTTGCTCCCAAAGAACATGCCTAACACCAATCTCACATCCCATCCCAACCATATGTTAGGATCATCTCTCCATAAATGACAAAATCAATTATAAAACGGAGAAGTACGGACAGGCCCAATGCAGATTTTTTATTTCCATTGCAGAGCTATAAACATTTAAAAGGTCAAAAACCCCCGCTCTACACACCAATGCCCGCCCGTGAATTGGCATCAATTCCGAGCTGACACCCATCCCAACTGTACTTTGGGCAACGGTCATTCTCTCATTATAAAAATGTCCATCCCACTCGCGCACCCTAAAGCACAACGTGTATTGGGAACATCTCCGGTATTTGTCATGGGGACCCAATGCACGGTTGGGATGTGCTTTGAGGCGCCTGTGGGTCGCGCTCTACGGGTGAATGCTGATGCGAATTCCTGATAATCTGTTTAAAGGTAAGGGTAAAATACAAAAACCTCCCTTGAAGTTTCTATCATAAAACCCCCCCTATAGTTTTACTTTAGCAAAAACCTTCCCTCTATAAAATTCCTCCCTCCTATCAATGACCAAGATGAAAAACGTTAAAGAGATGATCAATTTTTACAATTTATCCTTTTATGAATTAATGTGCATCTATTTTTATTAAAATAACCCTGTCTCAGCAATTCCATAATACGTTCGAATACTGTTCATCTTTTTCCTCACAACGCAAAGCAGTAGAATGGCGGTGCACTCCTCCCTCCAACCTTCCCTCTTCTTTATTGGGTGGGCAACCATGGCGACAGATGGATGCAATGTCAGGCGTCCAACAATGGTACTGGGAATTTTGTTTAGCAACGGGAACGGTACTTTGTTTTCTCGTTGGCAACCATGCTTCCTCTAGGGTGGGCAACCCTATAATGGGAATTTCGTTCATTACAGGGTTAGCACCAAAGTTGATAGCCCTTGTTGGCTCAGATCCAAATAAACCGGTCACCAAACTGGCTAGGCACTGATTGGAAACTTGAAATGTTATCCCAGGAGAAATATTTATGTTTGAAATTCCCGAAATTGACTTACTGTTTGTAGCATCTATTGCTTGCTTCTTGTTGGGAAACAATTCCGGTTCCGTACTACCTTTAGATAGAAAGTTTGGAGGAATAGATCACACTCGTTATGTCCCTCTATAATTCTATCTGTATAGAATAAGATAAGGAGGTATCCCGCTTTTAATACAGTCAAACTCATTCTAACACTCTGTACCCATCTTTCGGCATTCATAGGCTCTGGCAGTGAATCCTCTTCTTGCTTGACTCTTCAAAACTAATCTACTTCTGACTTGGGAACTATTGCACATCACCAATTSCTTTTGCACAATAGCTAAAGACTCTTCAGAACCCAGTGGCTGGACCCATTCTATAGGTTATTTGTAGGATCACACTCAAACAATTTAATAAAGCGGGATTGGAACTCCAAACGACACGATCAAATCAAGTTATGAACCCGGAGCTTTCCTTCGCCAGTCTACGACAAGGATAAGTAGATAAATAAACACAAGCCCTCGGGTCAACACAGTCGCACTCCAGGACGACCGATGGAAACTCGAAAAATGAATTCGTTTAAGCTTTGAAGTTTTGTTGTGGTATGGGTTGCGTTTCGATAGTGTAAGTGCGGCCTGATAACCGCTACAACCTCTACTAGAAATCACTTGGACATCAGGATCGAAGCTTATTCTCGTCGAGATCACTGTTGAGCTTAGAGAATTGATCGAACTAGTGCCCGATCTTCCTTACTATCTACCATTCACATGCAAAAGCTAATCCATGCATGCAAATTCCCCATTCCATTTTCAACTCGAACCAACTCGTTCATTACAGGAGGAAGCATGGTTGGGCCTGTAATGAACGAGAAAACAGAGTACCGTTTCCGTTGCTGAACGAAATTCCCAGTACCATGTTGGATGTTTGACATTGTCATCTATTTCATTTTCGTTGAAACAAAGACTGATTGTTATTGAGGAATTCTCAGATGTGTTTCCCTCGCTAACAACTAGTCCGCCATTGATTGTTATTGAGGAATTCTCAGATGTGTTTCTCTCACTAACAACTAGTCCGCCATCCCAGTATCATCGTTGGATGACTGACAGTTCGGATGGCCGGAGAAGGAGATCGGATTCAACCGCCATTGTTGTGTGTTTTAGTCGAGGAGAGGGGAATGATAAATAGTTCTATTCCGTGTTTGTGGGGAGAGAGAAATTAAAGAAGGGGGAAGGTTGGAGGGGGGAGTGCATCACCATTCTACCACTGTGCTCCGTGAGAAAGAAGATGAACAATATTCGACTGATCATAGATTATGGAGTTGCTGAGATAGGGTTATTTTAGTAAAAATAGATGCATATTAACTTTTTCCATTTTGGACATTCACGGAAGGGAGACATTTATTGAATTTTTTAAAAATAGAGGAGAGATTTCTGCTAAAATGAAACTATAGAAAACTTAGGGAAGGTTTTTATATTTTACCCTAAAGTTCACGAGCCTTTATACCTCGAAGAAAAATAAAACCTCCTAAAAATCCTTTTCTTCAGCACTGTTTCTTCAGACAGTTCTCTACTACTCTACTGGTTAAATCATGGCATCTCGATGTCGATCTATCTCAAAACCTGCCCTCAGCTTTCTAAAATCGGCCGTTAACAAATCTACGGGCAAACCCATTTCTTCGATGCGCATTCCTCGCACACATGCCTTTTCGAGGCAATTCGTTCACTCTTCTCAAATTCCATTTTGAGTTTTCTTCCAATATATGCAAATTAAACGATTTTTATTATTTTCTTTCTTCCAGGTTACCTTCTGAGGTGGGTTGCATTCAATCTCTTCTTCCCCTTCATAGTGCTATTTCTTCGGCGCGTCTGACGTCTTGTCTCGGCATTGACTCGAGAAGTTCGAGGTCGCTGTCTCAGGGTATGCTCTGCTGTGCAAACCCAGGAGTTTGATCTCCATCTTTATATTTGTATGTGTAAGACGCTTTTTTCTCTAATTATTGCTTGCTATCTTACATTTTTTTTTTCTCTTTTTTGTCCACACTCTTGTATTTCCCAACCAATGACTTTGCCTCCGCTGGTATCTTAATGTGTGTTCTCATTATTCCTAGTTTTTTACTTATTTATTTGTATTTTTGTTCATAATATTATTTCACTGATCATCTTATTTGGTTTGAAAAGTTTGGGTTCCGTTTATGGATTGGTTTATACTCTTTATTGAACTATACTTGGGGCTGATTTTGGGGGATTTGAGGTTGAATATGACTGTTAATATTCCTTAACAGGTTATTATCATGAATTAGAGTGGCCTTGTCTTTTAATTGGCCCGATAGTGATATGACCTTAATCTGCCTATCGTCTTAATCTTACAGCCTTGATTATCTTTTCTTGTCCGGGACTTAAACCGAATGAATACAAAATGCTCAGGTGTCTGAATATATCCTTTGTAACATATTTATGACGGCGGGGTTCTTGATTTTCATAAAATCCCACAATACAGCTCCAAGGCCTTGTTAGTTTAATGATCAATTTATACACATTGACATCAATCCTTTCTTCACGTATGGTTTGTGCTAATTACATTTTGATCCAGTTGAGTTTTTGGCTATTTTGGCAATTTTCTTTTATGTTTATTAAAAATGATGTTATAAAAAACTCTTGGTTAGTCAGTCTTACTCCATGGGTCGAGGCTCTACCTTGTAAGTTCCTTGTCTCAAAGCAAAAGGTGCATTCCATGCACACCAAGGTGCCTAACGTTAAGGATGATAATATACAGTAGTTGGAATATCAAGATAATTTTTATATCTTAGTATTCATCACATGATTGGTAGTTTCTAAAGTTTTTTCCTGTATAAGTCTATAAGATAAAATTTATTTACTGTTCTTAAGATCTTTATGTTTCCTAAGTCCTTTAAAGCTTAAAGGTCATTAAAGTCTTTTGGAGGTATTGATTTCAATTGTTGACTTACTCCTAGAGCTGCGTGAGCTAATTTCTTTACTTGAAACCCTTAAAGCTGTGAGTTTGTTACCCTCGGAAGGGGATGAGAGAGTTTGGGCACCTGCTGTTAATGGTCTGTTCTCTTGTTCTTCCTTTTTCCCACCTTCTGATAATAGCCCTCTCTCTGCCAAAGAAATTTGGAGTGGTCCCATTCCCCCTAAAGTTAAGGTTTTCTGTTGGGAAGCAGCTATTCAGGTAATCAATACCCATAAAAGACTCCAAAGAAAGCAGAAGAATTGGTTCATCTCACCTCATGCTTGTATCTTTTGCTTGAAGAGTAGGGAGAGTACCAACCACCTTTTTGCTTCCTTTGTGTGGCAGCATTTGTTGTCCTTGGAAGGTAGAACTTGGGAGGCCCCAGCTGAGGTTGCAGACCTTTTCAACCCAAGCTGGATGAGGTATACTACTGGAAGGCAAAATATTTTATAGCAGTGTGTAAGAGGAGTTATTCTTTAGGGATTGTCTACTGAGAGGAATGCTGGAGTTTTTGAAGATAAGTACAAGACAGTGGAGGTGTGTGAACTTCTATTGATAAGGGTGGCTAATTGGGTTTCAGTTTGTGGTGAATTCAGTGTTGTTTCAGTGAATGACTTGCAAAGAGTTTGGCAGGCTGGTGCTAGTTCTTATTTACCTTGAGACCACCAAGACTGGCTGAGTAGTTTCCACCAACAGTTGGAAGGCTGAAATTGAACTTCGATGGGTGCTGTTTGGGAAATCCAGGAGAGTCAAGAGTTGTGGGTGTTGTGAGAGATGAAAGTGGTAATATTCTTCCTAGTCTCAGGTCCAGCTGGACATGGGATCTCTCTCAGGGCTGAAATGTTGGCAGTAATTCAAGGGTTGGAATTGATAAAGCTAAAGGGGTGGAAAGAAGTGGGCATTGAAGGAGATTTCTAAACAGTTATTTTCTGGCTAAAGAACAGAGAAAAAATTCCTTGGAGGATGGGGCCTTAAGGCCTTTGGTTAAGACAAGCACTATCCCTGGGGGGTCCCCTGAATACCTCATTCACTTGGATCCCCAGAAGTGCCAATTCTTTGACTGACATGTTAGCTAGAGTGGGAGTGTCTAAGGATCGTCTTGAGTGGGGTTGCCCAGGACTGGATTGTAATGTGTAAATCGTTAGCCTTAGTTTTAGTAGGAATCTACTGAATTAAAAAATATGGAAGAAAGTAGTTTGTTGAAGAGAGAAGGAAGAGAAAAGGAGAAGAAGAGAAGAAGAGAAGTTGAAAAGAAAAGAGAGCAATAATCTGGCCGCCCCCTTCACTTATTAKTTATACTAAAATAATAGAACAGTACAAAGACAACTATACCCTTATAGAGCGGCAAAACATAAAACAACATATATAACATTTAAAAACATAATAGAATTTGGACTCACATAACTACTGTGGTCCCCACCTCCTATCTAACAACTAACATAAAACATCTACTCAGAAAAACATCATAAAACTAATTAATCTTCAACACTCCCCCTCAAGTTGGGAGTAAATGTCACA